TCTCGGTTGAACCCTCTGTATTCTCCCCCCCCTCCTTTCTCCCCTACCTCCTACCCTTTCCTCCGCCTTCCCGTCCTTCGGCTCTCTCCAGGCCTCCTCCCTCCTCGCCCTGGCCACTTCGGCCCAGAGGGGCGTCGCACTGAGACAAGAAGGGGGGGCAACGGGAGATTTCGTCGACTTCATCTTCGACAACACCGACTCGCTGGGGGAGCTTCCCCCCGACGCCCCTGCCGCACCCCACCCTTTAGCTTCCGGAGGTGCATGCCGACCATCTGCTCGGGGAAGCGGAGGCGGGGTAACAGCAGACGGGGTAACAGGAAATGGCCGGTTCGAAGCAAGACACGCGCACTCTGTTGCAGTACAGTTGTTCCGGCTTTCGCGTTCAATGCAGCACCTGCCACATGTTGTCTGCGTCGCAGATTCTCGGCTGCTGCACTGCAACTTTTTGTTTTGGGCCTCTGTTGCCTGGTTTGTTTATCCCCATATCCTAAGATGGGGGTCGTGTTATTTCTTGGATTCCGCCGACGTCTCCTCCTTCTGCTCCTTCTCCTCCCCTCTCCTCCTCATGCCCAGACTTACTCATACACAGACTGACTCACACTCAGACTTACTCATACCCAGACTTACTCACACTCACACACACACAAAATTATTGATATTCAGACCTACTCATGCTCAGACCTACTCCTACTCAGACTTACTCATGCTGCGACTCACGCACGCCCCGTTCGCGGCCGTTCTGTGGGGATGTCTCAAGCGGTTCGCCTGTTTTCTGTCCCAACATCCTTCGCTTTCGCAGCAGATTTGGAGGATGTCTCGAGCGAGGCGCTCAGTTTCATGTCCCTAAGGGGAGCCGCCGAGGGGTGTTGCACGGTCCCGTTCGCGGCGTTTTGTGGGGATGTCTCAAGCGGTTTGCCTGTTTTCTGTCCCAACATCTTTCGCTTTCGGAGCAGATTTGGAGGGTCCCTAAGGGGAGCCGCCGCGGGGTGTTGCACAGTCCCGCTCGCGGCAGTTTTGTGGGGATGTCTCAAGCGGTTTGCCTGTTTTCTGTCTCAACATCTTTCGCTTTCGGAGCAGATTTGGAGGGCCCCTAGGGGAGCCGCCGAGGGATGTTGCACAGTCCCGCTCGCGGCAGTTTTGTGGAGATGTCGCAAGCGGTTTGCTTGTTTTCTGTCCCAACATCCTTCGCTTTCGGAGCAGATTTGGAGAGGCGCTCAGTTTCATGTCCCTAAGGAGAGCCGCCGAGGGGTGTTGCACCGTCCGGTTCGCGGCCGTTTTATGGGGATGTCTCAAGCGGTTTGCTTGTTTTCTGTCCCAGCATCCTTCGATGTCGAAGCAGATGTGGAGGATGTCTCGAGCGAGGCGCTGATTTTGACGTCCCATAGAGAAGCCGCCGAGGGGTGTTGCACGGTCCCGTTCGCGGCCGTTTTGTGGGGATGTCTCAAGCGGTGTGCTTGTCTTCTGTCCCAGCCCCCAAGTGGGCCAGATTTTAAGAATGTCTTGATCGGTGTCCAGACTCGTGGGCACAGATTCTCTTCAGTATACCACTGGAGGCTCCAACAGGGTCCAGGAGGCCCCAGGAGCCCACATGAGGTCCCAGGAGGCATCAGGAGGCCACAGAAAGACTCAAGAGGCCACAAGATGTCCCAAGGGGCTCTAGGAGGCCCCAGGAAGCTCCGGGAGGCCTCAGGAAGCCACAGGAGGCCCCAGGAGGCCAGAGGATGCGCCAGGATGCTTCGGAAGGCAACAGGGGTGGCTCCAATCCCATGTGTTTGAGGTATGCTCCTACAGATTGGGCCTCACCTGGAGCACGAGTCCTTGATGTCATACGTATGCTTCTATAGATTGTCCTTCTCCTGTGTACGTATGTTCCTAGCGGCCTCTCCTGGGGCACGCGTCCTTGGTGTTTTACGTGTGTTCCTATAGGTTGCCCCCTTCTCCTGTGTGTGGCTCCAATCCGCAATATTTTATGTACGTCTGTTGCTATATGTTGCGCCTCTCCTGGGGCACGAGTCCTCCCTAGGAGGTCCCAGGAGGCCCCAGGAGGCCCCAAGAGGCTCCTGGAGGCCCCAGGAAGCCCAGTAGGTTTCAGGAGGCCCCAGGAGGCCCCAGGAGGACCCAGGCTCATGCGCAGAGACGCGCTCGTACTACTGAGGCTGATTCGCACTCCAATTCATTCTCAGTTAGATTCATGACCAGACCTTTACAACTGAAGCCCGTTTATGTTCGAAAGTTCTTGCGTCTAGACATTCACGGCGGACAGGTCCATGCGAATAGACACAAGCTTACTCATACTCAGACCTACTCATACTCAGATCTACTCCTACTCAGACTTACTCATGCTGAGACTCACTCATACCCAGACTACCTCATACTCAGAATTGCGGGGCGCTGGTTTCAGCACCCCTAATGGGAGCCGCCAGGGGTGAGTTCACGGTCCCATTCGCGGCCGTTTTGTGGGGATGTCTCAAGCGGTTTGATTGTTTTCTGTCTCAACATCCTTGGCTGCCAGAGTGAATTGTGCGGATGTCTCAGGCGGGGCGCTGGTTTCAGCACCCCTAGGGGGAGCCGCCAAGGGTGTTTTCAAGGCTCCGTTCATGGCCGTTTTGTGGGGATGTCTCAACATGATATTCGCTTGTTGCGTTGCATGGCTAGACGCGCATTCCCATATCCCACTGACAATTATCCTTTTCAAAAGATGCACTTATGGGGATCTCCACGCAGTGAGTATGTGTTGTTTCGCGTTGCAGAAATTGCCGTGCGGGTTGTTGTTCCGGTTGTTGCAGGTTCTCCGTCTGGATCCGATGGCGGGTCTGCTACCCCGTTCAAGTGTTACCCGGCTTGGTCTTCCCTGATCTGCCTGGCCCGAGCGGCGTGGGGCCATTGCCCGGCTTGGCCGCGCGGACGCTGGCTTGCAAGTTGCCGCGCGAGGGGTCGCGCGTGAGCGCTCTCGCGTGCACGCCGTGTGCGGCGGTGGGCGGCCTGCGTCGGCCACCGCGTAGGGCCGCTGGGTCGTCGCGCGGAAGGCCCCTCTTTCTCGCGTTGCCCGCTGAGTGACGATTGTTTCCTGGAGCCCAGTCGCGCTGCTTCCTCTGCCGGTGGTCAGCGCCCTCTCGGCTTGCCGCCCGCCCCTGCTCACATGGCGCCTGGCGCCGCGCTGGCGCGTCCCCAGCACAGAGGCGCCATTTTGTGCAAGCTACAAAACGGAATCGAGCGGGCGATGGAGGCCATTTCGTGCGGGGCGCTCCAGAAACGGCCTCGCCTTCGAGGGTGGGCCCGCGGGACAGGGTCCCAGAAGCCAGCCGGCGTTTTTCTGTCTCATTGGTTGCCCCTTTCTTCAATGGAGGAAGGCATAATCATGATACGCTGACGGATTTACAGGTGTTCTTGTTGCCTCGAGCGGACTTCAGAGACGACCGGCGCTAGGCTACTACTGGGGAAATTCTAGAACGCGTCCTGAGCCAATCGCTTCATGAGATGATCGTCCTGTTCTTCTTCTGTGGCTCAGCTGTTCTCGCCTCTTCGTCGACCGAGAACTCTCAGGCCGCTTTCCTCCCATCAGAAAGGCCGTGAGGCCGCTTTCTTGCTCGCGCCCCACACGCGAGCTATTGAGTTCTGATCTCCGCTTCCAGTCCCTGCCTCAAAGAAACAAGAGAGGCCGTGAGGCGTGGCAGTCAGCCCAGCCCAGGACCCTGCCCACGAAAGCAAAACGCTCAAGTTCAGCGAGTTCGTGGAGACCATGATGCAGCTCCGCGGAGAGAACAAAGCATCCACCCCGCCGCCGCCACCGCCCGTGCTTCCCAGCAGAGGGGGCAGCGGCAGGGGCAACGGGGAGAAGGACAAATATCAAACGAGAAAACATGCATAGCAAAGGGGGGAAGGCGGGATACCACAAGCGCTGCAAACAATGTCTTGTACCAGCGCAGGGCGAGCCCTGTGGCGCGAGGAGGGCGAGGTAACGGAGGGGGGAGGGGCGGGAAGGGACAGATGAGAGGCCCGCATTGGCGGGCAGCGGGAGGAAGAGCAGGAGCCGGGGGGGGGGGGGGGGGGGCACGGGAAGGGGAGGGCGAAGAGGAGTGCAAGAGAAAGGCGAGAGGGGAGCTGGCGGACAGGCATGACGAAGTAGCAGGTTCGAAAGCGCACGGGTGCATACTCCGAGGCCTCGGTACATGCTTCGGGGGACGCCTCCCCCACCCCGTGCGCGCATAGGCCGCCGTGTTCGTGTTTTCGCGCGCCAGCGACGGCGGCACGCTTACCGAATGTATGTATCAAGGCTTGTCTGGATCGCTTTCTTCCGTCAGCTTCACCACCGGGGCATTGGGCTTCCCTTCCGCTTGTGATGCGGGGGGCGCCACCTGCGCCATGAGGGAAGGGGGTTATGCGGGGAACGGGTCCTCGAGGCTCTCCGTCATTCTCGGCCGTCCCCGGGCCCCAGCACCGCAACAAAAACGGCTCAGTGTGAAAAGTTTGTTTTGGGGAGGGCCCTAGGGGGGATCTAGGATTCTTTTCCCTCAGCACCCGTTTCGTTCTTGGCAAGGGGGGGGCATCTGCAGCCTAACCTGCATGCAGCAGCTTTCAGCGGGCGTAGCCGTTCAGCCGCAGTCTTGTCTGAACAACCGGCGGTTCTAAGCAGCAGCCGTGCTCGTCATGTTCGCGTGCGTGCGCTTGAAGAGTGTACCATTTTCGAGACGTCCCTCTTGCCTCCCGCGAGGTGCTCACTTTTCTCGTTCTGCTCAGCACATCATACACTTCATCGCCGCAACCTGCCGCTGCACAGCGGGGAGCGCTTCGGACAGCCACATGTATAGATGGGGTCGGCTGCGCGACCGTCAGTGCGACAGCTGCCCGCGTAAGCGTAAGTTCGCGCGTGCGCGCCCTGTTTCCGTTGTGCACCTCGCCTGCGGCGCGCGTGAGCCACCGCGCGTGGTTGTCGTGCCATCGCGCGCGTGAAACCCATGTTCTTTCGTCGCTCAAGCTGGAGTCTGCCCCGCGAGCGGGCGATGATGGCCAGCAGGGAGCTGACGCTGCAGCTGGGCGCGGCAGCCGCGGTTGCCGCGGCGGCGATCTGGCAGTGCAGCCGCGTCGTGTCCATCGGCGCGGGCGGGCGGGCTGGAAGCCAGCCGAAGCGGGGAAACCTTCGTGTGCCCACCAGCAGATGGAAAGTGATACCAGGAAGCTGGATGCAGCCACAGCTGGCGTGAGCTCTTCCGGCGTGAGCGAGAGCTGGACGCAGCCACAGCTGGCAACGGGATAGTATAAGCACAACCATGTTTTTGGATGAAGTGCCCATCTGTTATGCGTGTCTTCGCCCTCCATCTTGGACTGGTGTTCTTGCTCGGTGTCCCCATGATACCTTGGACCTTCAGCGGAGGGGCTCACATTCATGACCTACGTTCGTGAGGCCACGATTCTTCGACTGTAGACATGTGGCCGCCCGTCTATCCAGCGCTCTGCCCCCGCATGTCCAAGCATGCCGCCCCCCTCCACATTAGTATCCAGCACGTGGCCTCCGCATGTTCCGCAAGTGATTTCAGCCATGTGTGTTTCCAGCTGTCTGGTCTACGATCTCCTGCCGACGGGAACGCTGGTGAGCCCAGGGGTGCGTCTGCAGGATCTCTGTGTCAGAGATCCCTCTCTAGATAGAAAAATGCAGTCCACGCCCTCTCACCAGACCTGTCATATTCGTTGACTGATCATCCATCGACCCCACGGAGTCCCAAAGATGTGTACACATGCACGCGCACGCGCACTCAAGAAGCCGTCAGCTTGCCCGAGCTCGACGTACGTTATCGATCGTTTAGTAAAAATGAATGTGCACACGTACGCGCACATGTATGCAGTCAAGACGCTGCAAGAGAGAACAGTTTGGGCTCAGACGAGGCTCGCTCTGATTGTCTGGCCGTTCGGTACATCTAGGCCAAGGACCACTGCATTCGTGGCCGAGGCTAGCAGTGGCCAGAAAAGCCCATTCGGGTCTTCTTCAGCGCCCCGCATGGCAGCACGATTACCGCTTTCCCATGGTTGTGCCTTTCTTGGCAGGCCAGTCCCCCTCCAACCGAGGTGGCACGTATCCGTGACCATCCTGCCGAAGCGGCTCCCGAGCTTGAGCGTACCGTGCAGAAGGCCGATCGGGTTATCAGCACCGCCATCTCGAAGCTCTCGTCGAGCTCCAGCCGCCAGAACGGGCCTCGAGCCTGCACGGGGCGAAGAAGACATCGCGCGGGGAATCCGCGAGAAACAGCCCCGTATCCGCGGGGTCGCGGCCCAGGGGCCCGGCCGGCGAGGCCGCGGATGCGGATAGCGGATATGTTGTTGGCCCACGACTTCCCCCTCCCACCTCGCCCAGTGGTCTCCTCGCCCTTGCCGCAGCACCTCGGCGCCCCTGCTGGGCGCCCCCCGGGCCGCTTCCCAAAGGCGGCCCTCTCGACCCCCGGCCCCCCCCGCCGCAGATGGCTCGCGGCCTCCCCTCGTGCGGTGCGCGCGAGAGGCCCAGGCCTCCGACGTGCTTCGGGCGACCAAGAAGAGCGACGACGTCGACGACCCGACGACGGCGACGACGACGACGACGTTGACGTCGACGACGGCGTCGTCGACCCGACGGCGAAGACGGCGAAGACGGCGACGACGACGACGGCGAGCGACAGCGACGACGTCGACGAGCGACAGCGACGACGACGACGACGACGACGACAACGACGACGACGACGACGACGACGACGACGACGACGACGACGACGACGACGACGAGCGACGAGCGGCGACGGCGACGACCCGACGACGAGCGACGACGACGACGACGACCCCCAGCGGCGGAGCTCCGCGGCTGGAGGTGCCACCAGGGTTTGCGTGGAGGGGCCGGATCGAACTCCCGAGCGCCGTTCTCGCGCGAAGGGGTTAGGCAGGCGGTGCGGGCGGCGTCGGTCTCCAACGCTCGAGGGCGGGGTGTTTTTGATCTCGCTCGGGCCTCTTGGGGCTCGGAAGAAGCTCGCTCGGGCCTCTTGGGGGTCGGAAGAGTGGCGTCATGGTGTCCAGCTCTTCTCAGCAGGAAATGCTTGTGACCGAGAACGGTATCACACGTGTCTGAACTTGTGACTGGACACGTCGTGTGACCGATGTGGTGACCGACGTTCAGGGTCGTATTGGCTCCGGACCAAAGTGTTCGGTCACACCCGCGCGCGCTCGGATCAAGACGGGCGCTGGTTTCAGTCACCCTCGAGAGAAGGTTGTCGGGCATCGTTGCGCACACTACACCCCCCTGGTAGAGACGAGGCTACGTGAGTGTCGCGTCTTCTGGGGTTATGTTCTCTACCTTCGGTCGCGCCTATACTCCCGAACGTTCAGCGACTGGAATTGTGCGAGACGTTGACCCCAGGACGTTTGGACCCCTTCCCCAGGGCCGGCTTTTCATTCCGCCCTGAAGGCTTTCTGTTGGGCCACAAAGCATGCTCCAAAAGCTCAACATGGCGAGAAACCCGACGTCTGAGTCGGGGTAGTAAAATGTCGACCTCTGGACCTGTCCAGGGGTGCGCCCTTGTATAATTCCGAGGCGGATCCAGCCGTAGCGACGATGGTGCCCCCGTAGGTCAAGAGCACGGGCGCTGCAAGAACGGGCAAGATTCCAGCAAAAAAGCGAGGCGAGGCTCCCGAGGCCGATCGTGTCGCAGACCCTCGACGTCACGTTTTGTCCACAACGCGAGCCCCCTGAGGCCAATGCGCAGTTTTATGACGGCCCCAGGGCCGCTAACACCTTCGAGGGCAGGGACGTAACAACGAACCTGTGTTCCCCACCGCCGCCGCGCACATCACAGTCGGCATTGTTCGGGGTAGTTCCGCTAGCTTGAGACTGTCATCACAATATGTTTACTATGCCTCTGGCCAGGGCCCGCGTACCTTCGTGTACGTATGGGCGCCAGCCACAATTCTGACATATCCACCTCACGTGTAAATGTTGCAGTTGACGTTTCGGGGGAACGCGAAGGCCTCGTCCAGATCTGGGGCCCCGTAGGACCCCCAACCCTCGCGCTCCCCGCTTTCGCATTTGGCCAACCACGCCGACGTCGAGACGTCGTGCCCCGTCGCGCATACGCGCGGCTCCCCAGACCTTGGCGAGCGAACAGCACGCAGCGGTAAGCAGATGTGGGGGGCGGAGGAGGCAACGGGTGCGTGTTGTCGGATGGGGGTCCCGTTCGAAGGGGAGCCTCCCGGAGGGTCCAACAACCGGCGCCCATCCCCTATAGCCAGCCCTCCTCCCTCCGACCTTCCTGTGGAAATGGGCGCTCGTTGTTCGTTCGTCAAACCTTGCGTTGCGATCTCGTCCCGCTTCCCTCCCGCTGCCTCGCGCGTGCTTCCCGGGGGAGGGGATGCCTCCGCGCTCGCCGACGCGGTGGGCGGCGCCGTGTTCCAGGCCGGCCGGGCGAGCGAGAGCGCCGCGTGGCGCGCGGCCGCGCGAGTCGGCTACACGTGAGAGTGACCCTTCGCCGGAGTGACCTTTTGATGCGGGCCCAATTGGGCCCCCCGATTGCTGAACGAAATGCGATGACAGTGGCTTGCGCGCCTGTCGGTGTCCCCAAAGGCCCCCCCGTTGGGCCGCGCACCACAGGTCACTCTTTGCCCAGGGTCACTCTGGCGCGTGGCCGCGCAAAGGGGGCCCAGGCTCAGTGCCCCTCGCGTCGTGGGAAAGTCCCGACGGCAGATTCGTTTCAGGTTTCGGCCCCTCGACCCTGGGGCCATCAAGAAACTGGCTCGGGACGGAAAGCTGGTCTTAAGGAAGGGGTGCCTTCCTTGCGAGGTTGCTCCTTGATCTTTTCGCGATTGCGGCCGTTATTGTGTGAGAAGGGGCTAGTAGCGTCACGATTCGCGACGGCGCTGTCTGGGAGTTAGTTGTCCCAGAGCTATTCCCAACTGGTGCCAGCGACACTCGTGACGGTACGGGGGAGCGAGGTGGGGGGCGTTCCCAGGTGCAGGCGATACCGCGAATCATTTGAAAAACGCGCTCTTGGTGGTCCCTGCCTCGATGCCGAAGAGAAGTACGGCGTCGGGGGTTCGGGAGGGGCCCCGAGCTCTGGTGTCCGCAGGCATCCGAATGTTAGCTTTTCGGTTGCTGTTGACGATTTGGGGACTGCGTGTCGCCACTGCTGGATCAGCTTCGAAATTCTAGTCAGAACGTCACCCAGGACAGGTGCGGGCGTCGATTGTTGAACTGCAGTCGGGACGGTAGGTTTTATCAATCTTGAGCTTCCAGAGGCCCGTGTCGCGCCACGGTGCCATCAACAACAAACTACTCAGGATGCAAAGCCGGGCTTGGGGAAGGGATCGAGAGGTCCAGGAGTCCATGTCTCGAGATGTCGAGCAGGCGGATGCCTGGGCCCTGGCCGAGGATTTGCTTGTTGGGGTTGCTTTGGGGACTCTGTCGAGCATACCACGGCGTTCCCGGCGCCGCGGCTTGATTCGCCTCGCCCCTCTGGCCAGAGCACGCATCACGGACTGGTTACAGGGGTAGACTTTTTTGGTCGCCCAGGCAAAGGCCGTCGGGGCGCCGTGCAAAAATCAGCCTCGCGGCAGCGGCATTTTTTGCGTCTGGGGATCTGGAGACCACGTCTCGGACCCCGGGGCCATATCTGAGCGACGCCGAAAGCGGAGTCCATGGTGCGGAAATTGGCGCGTAAGGTTGCGCGTAAGCGCCCTCGTCTCCACGGTCTGCCACGCCGGCGGCCCGAGTACATCGCCGCGTAAGGACGTTGTGTCACCATGTTTGAGACCCATTTCCTGACGTCGCTCATCTAGCAAAGCAACCCGCGACGACACAGGTTGGGATCCAGGCCCCTAGACGCCGAAATAAAGATATGCCGGAGGTCGGGGTAATCAGTGGTCGAAGCCTGTCTGCGAGCAGCAGGGAACTCGGCCAGGGGGGCGGGCATCCTTTTCATAAGAGTGGCCCCCCCTGTAGCCCCCTTCAAAGGTAGTGCAGGATGTCGCTTAAACAGTGCCCTGGGGGGGGGCGGCGGGGGGCGTCTCGCAGCAGCGCCGTGCACGGGCGATGATTCATTGAATGGGTCGTAGGCCGCAGACCTGCTCGTAGGCGTCGTCTCAATCAGATTTCTCGATCATCCACTCCTGAATCTTCCCCAGCGGCATGACATGATTTGGACATCGTGTGAGTCGTCATCCTACACTCAATGCGAGGGGGGGTGGGTTTCTGCTCTGTGAGGGAGCCGCCACCTTCTAGGAGGTCCCCTGCCTCCGTGGCACCTGGGCCGTTCTCTCTGCCGCCAAGGGCCAGGGAACGTCAACGAGACACCGAGCCAGGTCAGGCTAGCCCTGAGTCCAGGGTCGGTGGCATGCGCCATCCTGCCCAAGCCAGCAGGACGCGTGCACCGACTACGTGCGCATATGCCTTACATGATCGTGCAAGTGCACGAGCGTGCAACCTTCACGCGGGAGCAAGCCAGGTTCGGTACACATGCCGTTCGTGCACCGACCCTGGGCCCAGGACGCGCCTTGCCAGAACCAACACGCCCCTGTACTGCATCGAGAGCAGAGGCTACTACCCCAGCTCCCGGCACCATATATTCCTGCTTCGCCCTTGGTGCCAGACAGACCCCAGGGGCCCGAGCCAGGGTGAACTCGCCAGCGAACACACTGGCCGTGCATAGTGTTTTAAGTAGTGGCGAAGTGTTATTGGTTGCCTAGAAGCCCACGAACAAATGTTCTAGAGCATCGTGGGGTTCGTATATAACTTCATGGGAGCATCACCGGAGACCAGCTTGCTTATAGACATGCTTTGATATTTTCGGAACACGGTTACTGTTATGAGAGTGCTTTTCCGTTCTGACATATTCCGTGGTAGGCCTACTAAGAACTCCGGGACGATCGGTCCCTGTTCAATGTGTTCCACTTCGTGACCGTTGGCGCCCTCCTGGCAAAGTGTGGCAGCCCTCCGCCGAGAGCGCGAGGCTACCGTTGCCAATCCACGTGCCGAGCGGGCCGCCAGGTGGAGGGATTCAGGGGCAGCAACGGGGGGGGACACGCTCCCACTCGCCCACTCCTCGCTGATCGGGGCCTCGGTGCCCAAACCTTCCCAGTAACGACTGGTTGCGCCATTGGAGCCTCTATTCGATCAGGCGGCGATGCATCGCCGATTCCAAGTCGATGTCCCTCCCCTCCCTGGCCCCCCCTCATCGCTCTCTGTAAACAAATTGACCTCGGTGCCTGGATGACCGATGCAAGCTCGAGCGGGATCAGCGGAAGCGGGACATCACGCTCGAGCGTTCATTCAGTTGTTTTCCAGCCCACACACAGCCCGGACAGCCCCACATCCAGCGCATTCACAACGTTGTTTGTCCTTTGACGCGGAAAGTATGGCGAGTCAGTGTGTACAGCAGGCATGTCAAAGAAACCACAGGCCTGCCAGCAGGTGTCTAAGGACAGTTTCTCATCCCCCGACGGCCGGGGGGGGGCCCACAGAAGTTCTGGGCCGCTGCCTCAGGACTCTCAAAGGTCGACGAAGAGTGTGCCCCACTAATTTCTTGCAGTTCGAAATAGTATGCCCGTGTATGCCCGTAGATGTCTACAGTCTATGGGAGCTCTCCCTCTCCTCCCCCGTGGTCTCATCCTCATCCCCTCGAGGCGCACGACTTCGAGGCCGTCAGCTTCGTGTTGCCCGTCGCTTTCTCGCGCTTCACGGTGCAGCCTCCCGTCGAGACATCAGCGCGATGTCGTGCTCTCTCTCTCTCTCTCTCTTGTCAGTCAGTGCGTAGCCATGGCCCCGCATGCGTGGATGGGCGCTGGGATTGGGATCTGGCAGCCATGGCGGAGGCAGCTGGGAGGGCGGTTGGGTGGAAGGCTGCTCCTCGGCCCCTCGCGGTGGGCCGCTGCTGTGGGATGCCACCGACGTGTGCAGTAGGCAAACCAAGTTGCGTGTGGTCGAGCGCAGCGTGTATGGGCGGTCGTGTGTGCCGGGCGT